TTAGAAGACAACATAAGCAAACATCTACTGAATATAAGCATGAGCAACTTCTTCCTGAACGCACCTCCTTGAGAAAGGGAAACTAAAGCAAAAATGAATTCATGGGACTACATCAAACTAAAAAGTTTCTGTACAGCAAAGGGCACCATCAACAGAACAAAAAGGCATCCTACAGTATGGGAGAATATATTTGTAAATGACATATCCGACAAGGGGTTAACATCCAAAATATATACAGAACTTATACACCTCAACACCCAAAAAGCAAATAACCCAATTAACAAATGCGCAGAGGATATGAAGAGACAGTTCTCCAAAGAAGAAATTCAGATGGCCAACAGACACATGAAAAGATGCTCCACATTATTAATCATCACGGAAATGCAAATTAAAACCACAATGAGATATCACTTCACACCAGTAAGGATGGCCAGCATCAAAAAGACTAAGAATAACAAATGCTGGTAACGATGTGGAGAAAGGGGAACCCTCCTACACTGCTGGTGGGAATGTAAGCTAGTTTAACCATTGTGGAAAGCAATATGGAGGTTCCTCAAAAAACTCAAAATAGAAATATCATTTGACCCGGGAATCCCACTCCTTGGAATTTACCCAAAGAATACAAGTTCTCATATCCAAAAAGACATATACACCCCTATGTTTATCACAGCACTTTTTATAATAGCCAAGATATGGAAGCAACCTAAGTGTCCATCAGTAAATGAATGGATAAACAAGAGGTGGTACATATACACAATGGAATACTATTGGGCCATAAGAAACATATCGTACCATTTGCAACAACATGAATGGAGCTGGAGGACATTATGCTAGGTGGAGAAAGACAAATGTCAAATGATTTCCCTCATTGTGGAGTATAACAATGAAGCAAAACTTAAGGAACAAAATAGCAGCAGACTCAGAGACTCCAAGAAGGAACTAGTGGTTACCAAAAGGGAGGGGTGAAGGAGGGCGGGTGGGGAGGGAAGAAGAAGGGGTTTGAGGGGTATTATGTTTAGTACACATGGGGCAGGGGATCACGGGGAGAACAGTACAGCACAGAGAAGGCACATAGTGGATCTGTGGCATCTTGCTGCACTGATGGACAGTGACTGCATTGGGGTATGGGTGGGGACTTGATGATATGCGTGAATGTAGTAACCACATTGTTTTTTCATGTGAAACCTTTATAAGAGTGTATATCAATCATAACTTAATAAAACAAACAAAAAAAATGGGTAGAGGACCTATATAGGCATTTTTCCAAGGAAGACATGTAGATGGCCAATTGACACAGGAAAAGAGTCTCAGTATCACTAGCCATCAGGGAAATGCAAATCAAAAGCACCATGAGATCTCAATTCAAATCTGTTAGAATAGCAAGTTCGAACTGAAGATGAAAATAACTTGGTGATGATGTGGAGAAGAGGGAACCGTTTTACACTACTGGTGGGAATGGAAATTGGTGTATCCAATATGGAAAACAGCATGGAGGCTCATCAAACAATAAAAAATAAAACTCCATTTAATCCAGCAATTCTGCTTTATGTATTTACCCCAAGAAAATGAAAATACTAATTTGAAAATGTAATGCATATGTTCACTGCAACATTATTTTAAAAAGCCAAGATATGGAAGCAGCCTAAATGTCCATAGATACATGAATGGATAAACATGTGAAACACACACACACACAAACACAAACACACCACATGTACACACAGTGCAACACAGTGGCATATTACTCAGTCTTAAGAAAGAAACAAATCCCTCCTTTTGGGACGACATCAACAATATAAGCCTCCTTCAGAGCACTTGCCCTTGATATGAGGTGGTGTGAATGGTACTTGCCCTCTGTGGCCTTCTTTCCCCATAAAACACAACTCCAAGTAATCACAAGAGAAACATCATGTTAAATGCAATTTGAAAAAAATTCTACAATATTAATGGAAAAGAATCTTGAAAATGGAAAAGATCACCCAAAACAAAGAATGTCTCAGAAACGCTAAGAACAGTATCCTAAGGAGATAAGATCACTGAAAGCAAATGATGTATCCTGAACTGGATATTTGAGGAGTAAGGGTCCAACTATGGAAATCTGAGGAAAAGAATGGGTGGTGATGGTTACAGTGCAGCATCACTGTTTCAATAATTGTAACAATGAACTGTAATGATGGTAGTAAGAGGGGAAGTGATCTGAGCAAATTGTGAAGCCCTGCACTATCTTTACAAATTTCCTATAAATATGAAACTACCTCAAAATAAAAATGTATTAAAAAACACTTTTCATAATTTAACATATATTATCTTTAAACTATCTACTATAAATTACTATTAATTTTGATTGTCAACTAGTTCTGTTTTGTTTTTTTAAGATACTATTTATGTCACAGAGAAATAATTAACCCAGGAAGATACATAATTTCCAAACTATGTTACAATTTTCATGTTCAATGGGGGATACATATGCATATTTACTTATTACATATAATTTTATTTGGCAGGGTCTTTTTAAGTCATTGTTTCACTGGTATGGCTGTGCCGGGGGTCCCTCTGAAAAAATGTCATCATAAATGTATGTAGAGATTCAGGTGCTATGGTGTCTATTTCAGTTCAATGCTGAACATATTCAAAAGACTGCTTATAAGAACAGAAAATAAAATGTTACAGTGTGACTGACTCATGAATTCCATGAATACTTCTATATTTCAGCAGCAATGAAACAAAATCAAGTGTCTGTAACTCAAATACTCAGATTACAATAACGAGAACAGAACAGTGACCATGAAGAGATTTAATGTTTCATCTTGATATTTTCTAATGAGAAAATGTCTAAAACATATTCAAACAGTTCCCTAGGTGAAAGTGAGCAAACAGTGAAAAAAATCAAAGAATCAAAAGTGGCAGACATTACTGCAAGTGATGGTAGGTGTTGGTACACTGTGTGAAAGACATGTGATTCTTAAGAGATCACACAGAATTATTCAAAGCTAGAACACTGGTATGCTCCACAATTTGATAAAACTTAGATGTTGACATAATTCCTTAGGGTAAAAAAGTGATCTGTTGCTTTGTGCTTACAATTCAGAAAGAATATATAATGTGCCTAAAAAACTGGGTTCTATCTGAAATACAACTGAGAATATAAAAAGCTAATACTTTTCCCACACTTGATTGCACAAGGGAAGTAACCCAGCATGAATACATCACAGGACAAGCTATGTTCAAAGTAAGAACCCTGCCTTCACCAAACAAGTTGTACTGATTCCATGAAAGGAGATAAAAAATGGATAGAATGTACCTGCAGTAATTATTAGATCATTGGAAAAGGATAATACTGACAGAAAAACACTCATGGTCACAGTTTTTCTACACGAGCAACTACAGGGGTTGCACTAAGAGACAGAGGGCATTATTCCTCCACTGTGTATGTCATCATGCCCAATCTGTACCTTGTATGGCAGATCATCTAATATATGAACTAGGATAAGCTTAAAAATAATACACAATGGGTAAAAATGTGTTGTGAATTAAATCACCAGATGGGATATTTTCAGGTCTGTTCTAGAATGTACTTTTAAGTGTACTTAAAAATACCCAATGGTCATCAAGATCAAATGCATCAGCCATCACCCTATGCAACATAATTACATTGAGCAAGCCTAACTAGAAGTGTACATATACACATAAGCATCTATGAATCAAGAGCATACATGTTTGCATTCAAATGCTCATATGTTTACAATTTTATGGGATAGAAAATCGGACTAGAAAATGCACCATCCTGACATCAGAAGCATCTGGTGCACACAGCACCTTTTTAGGCAGTTATCATGATGGGATGATACTGTGAACCAAGGGAAGAGGGTTAAGAAGGTTCTCCAAGAAAACACCCCAACTTTATGTGAAGACGCCTGATTGTAGGAGGCCTCTCCCTGTGCTGACAGCCAAAGTGAGGAGGTAATTTTCAATGTGTTCAAGGAACACTAAACTTTTAACAGGAGATAGGATTATACTTTGATTTACAAAAACCAAAAGTACACAAATGACAAATGAACAACCTCCCAACAAAAATATCAATCCTTAGTGGAAAGAGGACATAATAAAAAATAAGGGGATTACAGATACATCAATGCCATGTCTTGAATGGAGACAAAAAATTCAACTAAATGCCATCAGATTTTGCATTTTTAATAGAAAATGTGCATGAAAGTCTCTCATTGACAAAAAGCAGTCATGGTTCTGGTTGTTTATTCTGAATGTTTAAGTTTTCAGATATTCCATCTTTAGTGGTTTTCAGCAGCATGCAATGGTTGGTATTTTAAGAATCACCATTGGCTTTTGATCGTCTAAATCTAATTAAGGATATTTTCTTAATACACTCTTACAAAAATTGGGTGGAGTCCTGGGCTCATTATTTTTTTAACAATACTAATTCCATTGGAATCCTGCAAGATTGTTTGATAAGATAATACCAATATTTCATATTTTCACCATATTATTAGAAAGATAAGCATATTTTAATGACGTAACAGATCATTTATCTTCTTTGAAAGCCAGGAAAGTAACATTATAATGAATTCTGGATTTCAGAAATTTAGAATATTGAAGCTTCAAATAATGTGTTTTACTACAACACCTCTTTGTCCATTTTTTCCTCAAATATTTTCACATTACAGGAAATATTAACTATTAACAATGAATGAAGCCATGTGCAGGATACTAAAACCTTCCTTTTCTCTGTGGGATTCTGTATGTCCAAACTAGGGACGTCTCCTTTCCCCACCTTAAACTGCAAGTTCCCCGTATCTTGTATGTCTGTTACACGACTATCCTGTGTTTCCCTCACTCTGAATCTCTGCAGGAATTTGTCCCAAAAAACACTTTGAGTCCCTAACAAACATGAGACCGTCCAGTCAGTCTGACCCTCAGAGCCCCTTCACTTATGGTGCCTATAGGAAAAAAAAAAAACCTTTCACCTGCTGTGAAAGACTCATTACCTGAGGAAGCAGAGTCCACCAGCGGGGCTGGTGCAGAAGAGGAAGGCTCTGGTCTACGGCTCATGGTAAACAGCCTGGAGAAGCAGCAGCCCAGCCGCCGCCGCCTCTGCATTTGGGGCAGCAAGGGGGAGTTATCCTCGGGGACCGTGCTGCACGCTGTCCTGTCCCGGAGCCAAGACCCTGCAGGTGCATCCTCACTGGGTCCTAGTGGAATGCAGAGAAAGCCCTGAACCAAGGCACATGCACTCTGACTCACAAAGACTGGGTTCTCACGCCCCCTCCTGGCCACGGGAAATAAACAGATCCACCTCTCCTCAAACATCCTTCCTGCAACTAGAAAAAACTTGCAAGCGGCGGCAGCAAGCGGCAGGCGGCAGCGGCAGGGGCCAAGCGGTGGCGGCAGGCGGCGGCGGAGCGCCCCGGCGGCGTGCGACATGGGGAGCAGTCAGGCATCGGCGGCGGGGATGCAGGCTGCGGAGCTTCCTTGGCAGGTCCAGGCGGGTGCAGGCGGCGGCCCCGGAGGGCACTGTGGGTGGGTGCGGAAGGGCGCCGGGTGGTTTCGGCTGGCGGCCGCCAGGCAGCGGGCGCCCTGGGTAGGCGGTTGGCTGCGGGCAGCTGCGCTTTGGCGGAGGGAGACGTGGCCAGAGGCAGCGTGCGCTGGTGGCAGTTCGCGACGGCAGGAGACGGCGGCGGGTCGGGCACCCCATCCGGGCGTGCGATGGCAGCAGCGTCCGTGGGGCCCAGTGTCGGTGCGGGGCGGTGGCGGGCGGCGTCCGGAGGACGAGGTGAGCGCCGGGCGGCACTGGCTGGCAGCGGGCGCTGGGGAGGCGGTGACGAGGGCCCAGCGGGTGTCCGAGTCGTCGGAGGAAAGCGGAAGTGCGAGCGAGGTGGGACCTGCAGGAAGAGGAGCCGTCGGGGAACACGCCCTTTCGAGGGCGGGGCACCTAAGCAGGGGAGGGGTCGCTCCGCTCTGAAGGCCCCTCCCCTCAGCCGCCCTCCTCCAGCCCACGAGCATCCTGGGCCTGAGGGCTCCCTGTCCCCGCCCTGGTTCTGGGCTCAACCCCTGCCCAGCGCGCATGGAGAGGCCAGGTTGCTGCCAGAGCCAAAGTGAGGAAGTGGGGTGGGTTGGAAATGAGCTTAGCCGAATGGTCTCAGAGTGTCTGTAAGTGCAGGAAGGACATCTACTTGAAGTGCAGAATGTGGAATCAGGGAACACGTGTGCTGGGGGGGATTCCAGTGCCACCCAACTGTGCAGGTATGTTGGCGCCTTAACTTCTAATTCTGTTTTTGCACTTATAAAAACAGATCTTCCAGATTGGCTGCAGCTGATAGTTGCTGAGCCCCCAGCATGTAGGCACTATTCTAGCAGACTGACAATTCTTCCTTGGTTGGAGCTTAGATTTTATTATTTGTGTGGGAGGGAGGTGGGGACAGAAAATAAATAAATGAGCCAGAGGAATATCAGACAGTGCTATGCAGACAGCAAAGCAGGCTGGTGGGTGGCCGAGGCCTGGGTCTCTGCGAGGTGGTTGAAGGTGCTGGCCTTCACGCACAGGGTGGGCTAAGTGAAAGGCCCTTGGTGGGGTGTGTGAGGTTTTGGAACGAGGTGTCATGTGTAGCTCTTGTGTGTGTCAGATTCTATGTCTTTGAAATGGGAGGAAGCTGTTCTAATTCATGGATGAGAGTGGACCCTGGTCAGGTGCATGGACAGAGGGGGCAGGCTGAGCCAAGTTTTGCCCACACAGTAGACTTTGAGCAGATGTCTCAGGTGTGACTCGTCTGCCTTTAGGAAGACCTTGAAGCCCTTATAGCCCATTTGCAGACACTAGATGCCAGGAAGATGCAGATCAAGGAAACACCATGCTCCCTGTCCTCCCCAAGGTAAGTGAGCAAGGACTCTGCCTTATAGCTTCTCAGAATTTTCTTTCGTGAATTGGGCAGCTGCTTTAAACTGGCACCAGATTTTCATAACTGGACACTTGGGACATATTCATCATTAAAATTCATTCCTGCTCCATACCAGCTCCCTCAGAACATTTTTTCACTTCTGAATAACAGGAATGAGGCTGTTCAGCTTTACTGTCATGCAGAAACATGGAAATTAGGTCTCCTGGCCCAGCTGCTCATCAGAGAAATTGTGCCAGGTTTTAAAGCTCTCCAACTAGGAACAATTTATGGACCAAAGTGTTGTCCCAGTGAGCCTTTCTTTGGGTCTTGAAGTGTTTTAAAAACTGACTTGTGACATATAAGAGAATGAAACTGGATCACTGTCTAACCCCATACACAAAAGTAAACTCAAAATGGATCAAAGACCTGAATGTAAGTCATGAAACCATAAAACTCTTAGAAAAAAACACAGGCAAAAATCTCTTGGACATAAACATGAGCAACTTCTTCATGAACATATCTCCCCGGGCAAGGAAAACAAAAGCAAAAATGAACAAGTGGGACTATATTAAGCTGAAAAGCTTCTGTACAGCAAAGGACACCATCAGTAGAACAAAAAGACATCCTACACTATGGGAGAATATATTCATAAATGCCAGATCTGATAAAGGGTTGACATCCAAAATATATAAAGAGCTCATGCACCTCAACAAACAAAAGCAAATAAGCCAATTAAAAAATGGGCAGAGGAGCTGAACAGATAGTTCTCCAAAGAACAAATTCACATGGCCAACAGGCACATGAAAAGATGCTTCACATCACTAATCATCAGAGAAATGCAAATTAAAACCGCAATGAGATATCACCTCAC